GATTTTCATATTAGCGGCAGCCTGAACTTTTCACGAGACTTAATTTTTGTTGATACAATGGACATTTTTTCGGTCCATTCTTGCCTTGAATTATAGCAATAGGTTCCGATGGGAATGAGGGAGTAATCAATCCCTACTTCCCAGATCCTTAGATCACACTTCCTTTAGAGAGTGGATCAACTTTAAGCCCATCAAGCTTTACTCTCACAACCAATTAGATCAAGGTTAGAAAAAGAGTTACTCTAGTAACATCAGCAATGGGGATGGGTCCACTCTTTCTCTGACTTTGTAAAATAGAGAGGAAATCATTCAGTGATGATGAGTGGCAGGAGACAAAATGGATCCTTTTTTTACATGTTGCTTAACAGCTTTTTGGAACCCCTTGACACAAGTGGTGATGGTGATGACCCATTTGGCTTGTCTTTCAGAGATCATGTTTACAGAGGAAAGTCTATCAAATGGGTCTTATAGTCTTGCTGACAGACATGTAGTTGCTTCCTAAGATCCAATAAGCCAGTGAATGCCAGTTCCTGGGGAAGACAGGAAATCTGTGGCCTTCAGGTTTTTTTTCAGGGATCCCTGAAAAAAGGTTGTCCGGCATGGAATGCACAACTGGAGACTGTGGTCTGATCTTGTCTCGGGGCTCCTAATAAACCAGCATGTTCAACCTAGTGCCCTCCAGTTGCCCCAGACTTCAACTCAGTACCCAGCTTGCAGGCCAAGCAACATGAAAAAACCCTAAAACAAAAGAAGTTGTACACACTGAAAATGTTTGCATTTCCTCCCCACCCTCATTAATTGTTTTGACACTGATATAAAATGGACTCTGAGAGCAACTGTCTGAAAGCAGCTTGCTTGCTTCCCATGCAAACAAGAGGGAACCATTTAGCCCACAGCCAGAAAATGGAGAATATTCTTAGAAATTCAAAGTTGTTACATAATAGAAACAAACACCCTAATGTTTAAGAAACAGTCTGTAGCTGTCAGGGGGAAGTAAAAGGTTTACTCAGTAAACACCCTCAGGGTACCTGACCAAATTAGCTAAAAGCACGCTATCTAGGAAGGGAAATAACCCCCCCCACACACACACACACACAAAAGGAGTCCAAAAGGAGGTAAATTATAGTGACTATGGCTGGAGAGAGATTATCCAGAATGAGGGGCAAGAATAAGTAAACCTCTTGGTTAATTGATTAAGAGGGGAAAAGAGACAGAGAAATAAAGACTTCTACTTGGTCACAAAAGACTTCCAAAATTAAGACAGCCATTAAGTTGCTGGGGAATTCTGGGAGTTGAAGTCCACACATCTTAAAGTTGCTGAGTTTGAAAAACACTGACCTATGGTAATTGATTTGGCTGCAGGAAAGAATGCGAGGCATGACACGTTAATATTGACTCTTGAGGGCTGAATGAGATGTTCTGTTCACAGATCCAGCTGGTCAAAGATAAACCTAACACCTGCATCATAGGAGGACGGTGCGACTTGCAATACAGAAGGGGCCATGGGGGTGGGGAGGAGCTGCTTAGCTGCAAAGCAACAGTGGGAAGGTGCAACTGACAGCAGAGAAGTGATGACTGCTAGAGATTCCTGAAGCCAAACCCACCTACCACACTTCCTCAACATACCTCCCTGCTAAGGTATGTTTGCTGAATTGACCTAGAAGACAAGGAAAGATATTGTTGCCTCTTCCTAGTTGCCACTTCTCTGTCCTCTGCCTCACCAAGTCCAGTTCCAACCTTAGCTCACAGCAAGACATACCCAGGCTTTGATGGGACTTGTAACTAAATAAACATAATATTTGGGCTGGACACCATGAATATTCAAGGTGTTTCCAAATGGTCTCAGGTCTCCTTGGCACAATGGAATATAGAAAAATACCTTCCATCAAGGCAGTTCATTGCTCTATTTTCCTCTGAGATGGCTATTCTAGATTTCAGGAAAGGACTGAACTAGGCTTTTCTACATGCAGAACTTCTACACACTTGTGTGCTACCACAGAGCCATGTGCCCCCTCCAGAAATACCCACTCTAGGTTAACAGCAGTGACTTCTCAATGGAACCTGTGCCTGTCTTGATTAGGGTTCTCTTAATTTCCTGTCAGTACTGCTTAAGATCAATGTCTTCTTATCCTGGGAAGCTGTCTGATTCACACGACACACGTTTCTGACACTGTAAATAACCTAAGGAAATCATCTGAGACCTGATTCTTTTTTACTCATGTGCTGAGAATAAGGCATCTGATGAGAAGACTTCTTCCTCCCTCCCTTTGTGCCGTGCAAGTCTGCACATGTGTTTTTCTACCACTGCAGGTAATTTTGGATACAGCAGTAATTTTTCTTTCCTGCATAATAGCCCACCAGAGAGGTTGGAAATTACTAAAAACCTTCTCTATTGTATGGAAAAGATAATCTGCTTTCTGCCTGACTTCTTCTTAATTGTTCTCACTCAGATGAAGCATGGAAAATAAAAGGAGTGCAAATGCTACGAGTCAGTCCATGCAACTGAAGAAATATGTAGAATCCACAACATGTTTTTTTTTAAAAAAAACAACAACAGTGTCATTTAGAGTTGTGCTAGTATGCATTTCTGAGAATCACTCTTATTGAGTCTTTTATTAATGGAGAAATTCAAACTGGCTTGGTTTACATTGCATTTATGCTCTTATCTCTTCTTTCTGTTGCTCTCATTGTGTTTGCATTTTGAATGTACTTAGGCAGTATCTGTATGGATGCATGACTGAGGACTGGTTCCTACTGGTTTTACACTTGGGAAATTAAGGTAGAAAAGGAGTGATGGTAGAGGAAATGGCTTAAGGAAGAAAGTGAAGGAAGAGAATTAACTTGGAGTCCCTGAAAAACAGCATAGTATGTGGCAGAACATGTTCTCTATGGAGAAGGCCTCAAATCCAATTGGAGACCACTCGGATTAATACTGCAGGGCTGGCAGAGATCCCAGTTTATAGACACCCAGCCAGGATGAGAAGGTAATTGAAGATGATGAATCAAGGGCCTGGAGTGTCTTTGCCCTTTAAAGGTCTCGAGATGGTTTGCCCATCAGATGCCAATAGACGCAGGAGATGTCAAATTAAAGATGAGAGCTGTGCAAACCCTTTGAAGGAGGTTCTTCAGAACATGCAGGAACATACACTATGCATCTCTTTTTCAATCATTAAAGCAGCCGCATCTGGAAAAAAGCAAAGCCAAGTGAACGTACATACACAAACAGGCAGAGACAGCTGGGAGCAGCTTTGGGAGTAGCTGTGCAAGCCAGGAAAGGCATGTCTGCTTTAACAATTCAAAAAGAGGTGCTTGGTATGCTCTCCTGTGCATTCTGAAGTGCTTCTTTCAAAGGGTTTACACAACCCTATTAAACACAGGATAGAAGACAATCTGGAGTCTGTTTCTAATGGCCTTCTTAATTTTGTATTTCAACCCTTGCTCCAGATGAAAAACTGAATAGGACAATACAACAACGGGTGATTTCAATAGAGAAATCAATCTAGGCTTGGCAGTGAAGAGGTGATGTTGTAATAAAACCAAGATGGGCTGTAACAAACCTCAGAAATGCACACATTATTCAGGAAAAAGGAGCCTTAGGCTTTAAGAGAAGTTTAGGTGTGATGAGCTGGCAAAAACTGATACTATTCCCCCCAAATGGTAGTATGCACGTTGATTCTACAAATTATTGCATTAGAAAATTTCTCTTCTTGTTCCACAAAACTGTCTGATTCTTTTACTACTTATGTTTGTTGTTAGAGTGGAATAAATTCAGCCAAGGAGCAATGAATTCAAGTCCCTTTCAGTTTCATCAGAACATTTAATATGGAGAAACATAGGCAAATGTAGCTGTTAATGAGGAAAATCTCACAGTATTCAGGAATGCAGGGTGTTCAAGAGGTCAGAGGACCTGAGGATCTTAGAGAAACCTTGGCTTGTAAGAAGCACATTTTCTGATCAATGTGTGAACTGGAATATTAAGATCCAATTGTTTTGTAATTTTCGAGACACAGTAACACAATTTGCAGCACTTTAGGCAGGGTAACAATACATTTCACTTGTAGAAAAATAAATGTTTTCAGTCTCAAAAACACATTAAACTTTTTATGTTGTTGCCACATACAGAGACTCATGCTTGCTATCCATGCAAAGTCTACTCCATTCATTGTGCTTGGTGTATTTTCCAAAACAAACTGTTAAGAGGAGATGATTAATACTGAAAGAGAGCAGGAAGGAATACTGAGTAAGCAAGTACAAAAAAATAATTGGAAGTTAAAAAGATGGAGGCACCCATTCTGCAGTTTCAATTTAAGGCCCTTTTAGTGGACTACACCGCCTAGCATCCCTTAGACTGGCCATACTGACTGGGAAGCTGAGTTCTATAACTGAGAGCCTCAGGTTCCTTACCCAACATGTAAAGTCTAATGTGTAACGGATTCCATGTGGGCTTCAGTCTTGAGTCTTCCTGTTCAGAAAGGGAAAGGCGATTGTGTCATTGGAGCAGATCCCATCCAGGCATTTGCATGAGGGACGCACATTACAAACTAAGTTGTGAATGTGATGGAGCCAAGAGTTCTGTCTGGCCGTTTCAAGAGCCTCCGGAGGGAAGTGCTCTGTTAACCTTACAAATACATTTAGAAAATAAGACCGGTGCAGATTAGTACAGACAACTGTAAAGATGAGGAATCCAGCTGGGAAGGAGAGGAATCCCGTCTCTTTGTTGAATGATGAATGTAAAGTGGAGAGAACTATTAGTATTATTATGTAAACTAGCTTTTCCTGTGTAACTTTATAGTAGCTCATAAAATATTCTATTCAGGCTAGTTAGTTCCATTGATTTTGAAAGCCTTCATGTGTGATGAATCTAAAGCAAAATTAAAACCTCCGGAGAGAAATACACTCAAATTAAATACAAAAGTCAAAGCTAAGAGAGAGATAAAGGAAGAGGAAGCTACTAATCATCTTACAAGTTTTCCATCCAAATGCGCTACGAGAGTACTCACATCACTTCCATTCGAGCCACCCTTGAATCATTTCCTCCAAAGGAACTGACTTCACAGGTGTAGTCTCCAATGTCGCCAGACCACGTTTGGCCAATAACGAGACTGCCATCTTTCTCGATAGTAATTCGGGAGCTGCTAGATGGATTGATGACAACGGAGTCCTTCTTCCAAATATACCTGATTGTCACAATATATCAGATGGTTAAAGTCAGCTGTCTATTTTGTTAAACATGATGAATGTGCTGAAATTATATGGTAAAAACAGAGGTAGATAATTATGCCAAATGGTAAGACCCACTAGCATTTTTTTCAAGGGTTCATTTGGTCATAGTGAATGTCTTCTAGGCCAGCTAGACTAATAAACTCTTCTGATAAAGCAGTGTTTCTCAACCTTGGCAACTTTAAGAGGTCTGGACTTCAACTCCCAGAATTCCCCAGCCAGTGGTGCTGGTTAGGGAATTCTGGGAGTTGAAGTCCACCTGTCTTAAAGTTGCCAAGGTTGAAAAACACTATGATAAAAGATGCAACCCTCCTCTGTAGAGCTCAAAGACAAATATGCCACTAATTTTGGGGGGGGGGGCAGATAAATTTGCAGCTATGATTGGCAACCCGAACCAAACCAAGTTTTGGAAAACCAAAGACTTTCTCCTTCTGAGTTATGTTTTCTTGGCTTCACAAAAAATATTGGGCTTTGCTGTAGAAACTGCCAGGAGTAAAAAATACTCATTTATTTAATTTCAAGATGTCTCATCTATCACACTTCCAAGATTTTATTTCATTTTTAAAATATATTTTATGATATGGGGTAAGAAACAACTCCTTCCAATGCAAAAGTACATAGGACATGTTTCCTGTCCACCATGCTGCTAGTCTGGTCAGAAATACAGTATAAGCAGATACTGTCTTTCATTGTGCCTACAGAAAATTAGGTAATACATGTCATTTCAAGATTCAAGGTCAGTGGTTATGAAGGGTAATAGTCTCAAAGACTGGGATTAAAGAATAAAATAGAACACTGAAGAATATTTGTTGCTGTACCTTTATTATACTAAACCCAGAATATATTCTGCCTCACCTTTCAAAGCTGCTGCAAAGGTTTCTTAGGTAACAGGTGAAAATCTTCACTCTTGAAAAATACTGTATAAATGTTAATTATACTTAGCATGAAAGACTGCAGGGGTTTTTTTATGCATGATCCTCCTTTTTTTCCTGTCTGTGATTTCAATGTCACGATTTGTAGAATAGAATTCCTGCTTTATACCATTTGTAGAGGGACTTGTACTCAAAATCCTACCAGCATTTATGAGAACAAAAAGCTTCTAATATACAGTTTCCTCTTTATGCAAGTCTAGACTCTTTCCTTTCTCTTTTTACAAATGGCATTGTTTGATGTTTTCTAAAGGGAATGGCAGTGTTTCAGTTGGATTTTCCCTTTTCATCCGCATTCTCTTTCATACACACACACACACACACACACACACACACACACATTTTCATCCTTGTCTAAGAAATGGAGTCTTCCTGCTTGTAGAATTTGGTAGCTTAAAGATTCACTCTATCTGGATTTGGTACTTGGTGGGTTCTGGTTTTTCTCAGGAAAAAAGTGGCACTTCTAAGACTTTCCAAAACCCATTTGCAAAACCAATTCCCTTAAATTGCTTTGGGTTTTATTCTCATTAAGTATCAGCTTTTGACAAGTCAGTTTTATTGATATTGTGTTAACCTTGACAGTAAATCATAGGAAGTTGTATTGAAATCATGAAGTGGAACATAGCTCATTGTAAATAATATATACGGTTGAAGTGGAAAAATAAAAAGGACTTGATATGATTAATGGCATAACTTACAATCTCAAACTGTGATTGCTGTGAACGCCAGTGCAAGTAAACTCACCTAAGCCAATGCTGATGGTTTGGACAATTACGTTGAGATAAATTATACGAACAACTGCAGACACCACCAACCTGATTGAAATTCTTGGATCATGAGCAGCTTCACACTGAAGCATCGCTGTGGTTCCCTTAATAACGGTGCTATCCTCTGGAGGGCGAACAATAAAAGTGCGATCTGAAAAGAACATGACCCACAGTTCAGATCAAATTGCCAGTTTCTGTCCTGACTTGGGGTTTTGCCTTGGGAAAGCGGCAAGCCAGGTTACTCATCATTCCAGACAAGAATCGTTCTGCCCGCCCAACCCCTCTATCCAGCAAACATGTGAAAGGCTAAAGTGCCTGTGGCTGCAGGTTTTCAGGAAGTGGGTCATGAGGAATCTCGTCCGCTGCTAAGCTTTCATGTTTGTTGAAAACACAAAAATGTGAGATCATGAGGAAAAATGAGACATTTCAAGAGGAATTCCAACAATTTCCCACAGGGTTTCAAACTATAAAGGTGCAGTAAAGCAAATTTTACTTCTATAGGTTTCTTATGATTTGCTCCCCCACCCAACATTATAATGATTTGTATCCTGCCTTTTCGGACAACATCCTCCCACCATGGCTTAGAAGAAACATCACATCATCTTTGTCATGTTTGTCATCCTGAATCAATCCATTGAAAGAAGAAGGCCTTTTCGTTGAAGGTTGTGGACTCTGCTGGCCCAGTGTAAGTTGTAGTTCTTTCTTTTCCCATGCTAGGGCTGACAGAGAATGACTGACCCGAGGCCACCCCGCCGGCCACCCCTTGTTGTTCCAAGGAAAGGAGCTATTCATAAGATTTCATGCCCAGAGGAGGCAACATTTACCCAGATGTCATTAAAGCCCTATCATTCACACCTGTCCAGGAAATGGAGGTTTCTGTGGCAGGTGCTGAAGGCACAGCTTCCTATAATGCCTGCCCCTAAAAGAAATGGCTGAAGAGCCCCTCAGATGAGTCCAGGTGCAAGAGAGGAAGATAAATCAAAAAGGGGAACGAAGTCCCATTTCCCAGAAGCAATCACGAGCCGTGATGCTGGAAGAGATTCTCATAAAAAGAAGACAAGGCAAGCACTGTTTGTCAATTTCAGAGCCCCTGAAACACCACTGGAGAGGGTTGAAGACTTCTGTTTGACACTTCAGGTTATATACAAAGAGCAACCTCATTTTAGCACATAAGGTGCATGGCTGAATGAAACGCAATGCCAAAAATACAGAAGGACATGAAAATGAGCTGACAATCTGTGCATTATGTTGCCAGTTTAGTTCATATTAGATGCTAAAACCTATTTAGAGATAAAGTTCCACTGTAGATCCTCAGCCTCTCTAACCCTTACCTTGAACTGACATAACGCTGGATAACAAGCAGCTCATTGGTGGATTTAGGACTGGCTGCACATCATCAGGATGATGCCGAGGTCTGGCACAAGAATGGCACTTTGGGGTGGCGTCCATCTAACCTGATAAGCATTTTGAGCTGCACAGCACATCCTTTCCAGATGTTTACAGTGGGACACAGCATAGAAGTATTTGTAATATGTTAATAATATTAAAAGTTGATATTGCTACAGTGTTACTTTCTCCCTTCCACTTATGGCTGGGTTCTCACAAATTAATTTGGCTGTCTTCTTAACAAAGGAAGAAAAGTTAAAATGAGCAAGATCTATGAATGTAGAAGACACATTATAAGGCTGAGACAAGCTGTCAAAAACATGCTGACCACTTCTTTCAGGGGAAACTTTGATTGCGGTTCTCCAAATTACTTATAAAAAGCAGGCGGATTATTCTTATTACTCAATGCCTGCCCTACCCTTGTGACATGAACATTTTGTAATCAGATTCCTAATTAATCAGCTACTATGAGAGATGATTAAGTCAAGATTAATATTAACACTGAACACGATTCTTACTCCATACGGTGAGAGCAGCAGACGCATTCAGGGCTCCTTCTGAGTTGGCCGCACAGCAAGTGTAGACACCAGCATCTTGGAGAAAGACGGGGGTTATCTGGAGCCCTCCAGACTCAAGGAGACGGAACCTGGGGAGCTGAACGGAGCCACTGGCCAAAATCTGATTCCCTGGAACACAGCAAGTGGAAACAGCCTCAATCCTCTGATCTGCAGTGCATGAAGATATTAATGCTATGCTAATTTGTCCTGGTGAGTTGCCACAATTTGAGTGATTTCCCAGTAGAATAGAAAGCGTGTACCCCTTTTCCATGCTATGGCAGGCTTTGGTGCTCCAGAAACGTCGCATCTTAAGATGGCACTCATCCCTTCGGTAACAGTAGCATCTGCTGGGGGCCAGGAGAATATGGGCGCAACATCTGGAATCAAAACCAGGGTTTCAGAAAAAGATGGCTAAAACAGCACTTTAAAAGTTTAGAACCCTTGTGGAATTTGTCACAATAACTCCAAGAACCCCTTTCAGGGTGGACAGCAAACTTCCATTGCACCTCTCAGAAGAATTCTTCAACTTGTGCAACAGGGCTTTGAGATAAAGCAAACCAGCTTCAGAAGAGGGGTTGGAAGAAAGCAGATGGATCAAATTAACCAGAACTGTTTACTTTTATCCTCGCGTTGCTCTTCTTTATGATGAAAAGCAATTTCAGTCTGACACCAGTTTGCAGAAATTAAATGCCAGCCAAAAGACATTTCCACTTGATTCAAAATATTTCTGTGTGCTCCCCTCCATAATGTTTCTTTGGCACTTTCTCTCAGCCTCTGATGCAAAAGTTCAATGGGGGAGCCTTATTATCTCTAGCTCAGAAAAGATTTCAAACATAAGAGCACTGTGGTAAGCCTAACAGACATCTAACACCAAGCTCTGGAAAAGTTGAAAACCAGGTGTCCATCCATCCTCCCTGAATCCAGCTCCAGCTGAGAAGACCACAGGTCCTTCTAGCTCGACCCTGCCATAGCCAGGTTGCAGTCAGACAATCCTCCACTGTTCCCCTTTCTACACAGAAGGCAACCATTATTTTTAGTATTCCCATTTTTGATCTCAATGTGGGACCAAAGTCTTTCTCCTCATTTCCATTATTACCTTAGAGATCCTAGAGGAGCAAAGGCATTAGCAATTTCCCCTTTCCCCAATAGTTGCATTGGAAACTCAGGAATGACTCTGAAAAAGCTCCAGACACAGCCTGGTCAACCCCCAAATTTCCACAACCTTTCATTAAAAAAAAAAAAATTAGGAGAATGTGTTTTCTTTGGGAAAATTGATAGTGGATGCAATGGGTAGGAGCAGTAGCCCCCTGTGGGAAAACAAACCCGGCCATGAAGGAGTAAAATTCAGCAACCACAAAATCTATGTGCAATTTAAATAAGGAACTCTGAAAGGGGTTCACCCTCCCCTTTTGCCATTTTACTCCCTTCATTCACTTTCCTGACAGCCTGTCAAAACGCTGTTTCCTAAGCTGTCAGGAGCATGATGGTGCTGGAGAAGCTGATGGTCTGAATGCCTCTCCACCATTTGGTGGAGGACAGAAGCGTACAGCAGCGTGGGCAACAGCAACACTTTGAATAGCCACCGAAGGCCCCATCCTTGAGATGAGAAAATACAACTGAGGGGGGTGGGTTTAACTAGAGTAGTAGGCACTCCAGAATCCTTTCTTGATTTCCCCCACCCCCTTACAGGACGTATGAAGATCCAAACTTACTGGTGACTTCAAGGTAGGTATGGCTCTCTATCTCGCCAACCTCATTCCTTGCAAAACATTGAAAGATTCCAGAATCCTCTGGCTGCGCTCTCCAGATCTGAAGAGTCCCATTGAGGAGGATCGTATAACGAGGACTAACTAGTTGGCTGATGGGGACAGCATCCTTATACCAAGCTAGAATAGGCCCTGGGATGCCTGCATGAGACACACAGAGAGAAAATTCGTTCAGATATGCACTCCCATCATGCATGGCTTTAGGGTACCCTCACCCCCACCTTTGACAGTGCTCATTAAAATAATGGCTGGAAGCACACTTTAAAGGAGCAGAATTGTTTGCTGGAGGAAGTACTACCACAACCCCTCTGAGCTTTCTTCTCACCATACCTTAGGAACATAAGGTCTTCTCCATGGACAAATGGGGAATGGGGAGGATACCCAAAATACTGAAAACTTTAATCCAGCTCAACTTTTCATATAATGAACCTTATTTTGACTGCCTTTCTCCCTTTAAGTGTGACATCCAGGACAAGTGTCCCCATTTCTCTCCCCCAAAGGCCCTGATTATGGATGCTTAAGAAAGCACTGTAAATATAATTTATCAAGTTAAATCAAATGAAGACGAAAACAATGCCATATGAACTCAAAAGCCAATATAAATGTAATAATCTATAAAATTCTGTTTTCAGTTTACTCGTCTTTCTACTGAAACTGAAAGTTGTATTGTATTCCAAAATAATATCGAGACAAATGAGGAAAGAGGGCTTCAGAAAACGAAGAGGGAAATTTAGTGGTGATAAAACTATTTCTGTACCAGGATGTAATCAGTTCCTGAAATCACACTTGAAGCTTCCATTTTGTTAGAATAATAAAGCCATTTATTGTCTAAAAAAAATCACCTTCTGTGCGCTGTGTATTTATTTGTGACAAAATAGATGCAGTGTAGCCCTGTGAAATAAAATATAATTTAAAGTTCATACTAAAGGATGGTCCACAGAATTCTGATTGTCAGAATTCTTAGTGCAAGTACAATTTACTTCGTTAAACTGCTACAAACTGAAATTACTACAGACTGAGTCGTGAGGAAGCAGATAATGCAAAAATGAAATAGTCATCGGAAAAGCCTGAAAACAGCTTGAAGCTTGAATAGCAATAATTCTGTTATATTTTAAAGGGAACATAATAGAATTAAATCTAGTATTTGGCTTATTCCCTAAATCCCCTCTGACTTAATAATGTTAATTTAAAAAATCAGTGGGGGAGCTAATTTTTCAACTGTAACCACCATTACTAAATTTATCTTCTCTTTCTTTCAGCACCGTGCCCTATGAATTACTGAAAGGATCCTAAAATGAATGACAAAATGCCCCCCACTGATGCTTAGTTTTTGCAAAGAAAGCCACAGACACTTTCTCAATCAAATGCCATTGATTGTATATGGTCATTGGAAAACCATCATTATAAGCACCTGTGGCCCTCGAATGCTTCAAGAGACCTGAAAAAGTCCCAATGATGTAGCGGGGTAAATAGCATCCATCAGAAGGAGGTAGAAGGAGTTTTTCAGAGTTCTTTGGGGTCTCTGGGAAGATTGCTAGGAACAAGGGGTCTGCTAGATAGAGTACCATCTGAGATGCTGGAAATGGCTGTAGGAATCCACAGATGGGATCAGTTGGGAGCAATTCTCCAGAGCACAAAAGAACTGATGATTATTATTATTTTAGCTTCCCGATACACCCCACAATGGCTCATTTTCATTAGACAGAGACTCAAAAGTGATTCAGCCATACTGTGAAATGCAAAGTGCCTTGCCATCAGTACTTATATGTTTTAAATATATGCATGAAGCATATATTGTCAAGATCCCATATTTACTTAGGGATATTTTCTCAGATTAGTAACTTTGTAGCTTCCCAATTCACTTTCTTTTGGCTGTTCATTAGTATGCTAAAAGGGGAGTGGGAACCTCTTATTGAAGAGGATGCTTCCGAGAAAGGCGTTTTATTTTAAGTGGAATTATAAATGTTTTGCAAGTTCTGGTCCGTTCGAACATCTTCCCATTAAAATGAGAATGAATGAGTACTATTGCAGAAATGTAACTACAGTTGGATGTCTGTTGCTGCTGACATTTTCCTCCTCCTGCAAACGCTCCATAATTTTAAGAAACAAGGAGCTTTAACTATTGCGGTTATTGATTGCTTCTCCACAAGCTAAGTTATGGGTCCCACAGCAACTGTTTTCCTTCCATTAATTCATTCGGCTCAAGATGTTCATCCCTTTCTCAGACTGCAGTTGTGGAACAGAAAAAGACGGAGAGGCAACTTGACAACATCGCACCTTTTCAGACTCTTGCCATTTTTACATATTTTGAGGTTGCTAAAAAAAAAACACACAGTATTTTTTTTAAAATCCCTATCCCAAACATAAATAAATGACAATCCGCTGGGCAGCTCCATCTTACAGCAAATAGCAGAATTAACAAAAAGCATAAAGAATAAATACATTCTGAAATGAAGTTATTTGTTCATACCCTACTTACCCATTGCTTGACATGAGATGTGCACCGTCTTCTCTACCTCTACCAAAATCCGGTTTTCTAGTTCGGCAGTAAAATACGGGGGCTCTTATGGAAGATAAACCAGAAGACCATGTTAGTTCATCTCAAACAGCAGAGCTAATCTAGAATTCCTTTGGTGCAGAAGATCACACTCATGGACAAGCATTGAGAGATCCATTCACTTCCACGGAGAGATCCAAACTCTTCACCCAACCTGTCATCCCTATTGTGTTTAATATAATGTTACAAATGGAGTGGTCTGACTTCTACTTTGAGTTCATACTTTCTTTTCAGTGATAGCCTCATAAAACCACCTCAACAATTATAGATGATGATGAATATGCACTTCAAGGCGTATGGAGCAACTGCCAATGTATATTTAGAGATTTACACCACAAATTAACATCAGAGCAGAGGCCGCTTCTCATTTACAAGCATGAATCAGTGAATCTTTCAATTCTCTGCTGAGAAGGTTCTTTCCATGAGGTCCATAAAGGTTTTATTTACAGCAATGTATGAGATGGAAGGGTCTGCCTCAGTTTCTACTCAACAACCCATGCAGCTTCAGAAATAAAACACTAGAGCAGAAATCTAGCACAGCTGTATTCATAAGGATCCCATCAAGTTTTCATCATGGTGTGCATGAAGGTGGGAAATTCAAATTAAACTACATCACATCAGCTTTGCACTACCAAGACTGGTGTGGCAGTCAGCGTGCATTCGGCATTCATAAAACCCTCCAGAATCAGTTCTGTCAAATGTAACATGAACACTCACTCCTTGCAAGTTTGGCTTGTCTAATAAGAGAATACTTCACCTGCTATTTAGTTTTATCTTTGGGAACAAGGGTGGTAGGAATGGCAGTGTCCCATATTGATAACACTGGCCACAATCAAATTGAATTAAAGAACAGAACCTGAAGTAAGCATTAAACAAAATCAAGGAAACAAATCAAACTGATTCAGGAATATCACAGAGTGTAACGTTTATTTACTGCTATTTGCATTGTAATTGCAACCTTTCCCCTAGTATACTGTATACGACATACTTCTAGGTTTGAATTATTAGTGCTAATAATAATTGAGCAACTACATTTCTTCCTTGTTGAGCTTTCGATCGAGGCTGAAATCTTCTTTAATCCCATTTTGTCATGGTTTGGGGTAACCATTATTTGACCTTCATAGAAGACCTCAACCCACCAGGCAGCAGCCACGCTAAAGTCCATGCCGTTCTCTTGCATCCTTACAATGGGTCTTATATGAGTCACGACTGAGTTCTGGGATGGGGTGGTTTAGCCCGGCATAAAGTCCTCTCCGGGTCCTTCTCCTTCTCAACTTCCAGCTTCGTAGGGAGCTGCAAAGGCCAACAGAAATTGCCAAGGCTACTGCTTGTCGTGAAATGGGATAAGGGTTCATTAGCAGAGCCGGCCGAGTTGTTACATTGACAGCTCAAATCAACTGAGATCCAGCATTTGTTCTTCATCTGTCTTCAGGCAGTGAACATCTGCCAAAAGCTTTTTCAGCTATAGCTATGACACTGATAAAATAATAAATAAATAAATAAAAAGAACTGGAAGAAAAGAAGGGATGGGTTCAACCATTACTGTATTATCTGTTAGGAAAACAAGGGTCCCCCCCCCTGTGGTGGGGGCCATCTTCCATTCAAAGACTCTATTGAAAGCAAGCAGATGGAGGAGAGGCGCAAATGGTGGCAGGTGTCTCTGCTAAAAGCATGGACGCCTTTGAAGATTACCTGTTGAAAGTGTGACTTGGAAAGAGCAGGACTCATCTTTGCTGCTCATCTGGGGAATTTCCATCCTTTTGAATGGTCTTATTTTTCTTTTTCTTCTTTGTCTAGGTACCTTTTTCTTTCCTCTCATCTTCATCCAGTTTTATTCCTCCCTTTGGTGTCCCTTCCCTGCGCAACCACCTCTTCATCCTGTTTTTCATTCTTTTTTGCAGTTTCTGCTGAAAGGGGGGAGAGGAATGTGTGTGTCTCCCTGCATGTGTTTGTGTGTGCCTAAATGTGAGAGTGGTGGTTTCTCCATGTCTGAGAATAGTTGATAGATGTGGATGGGGGTTCATTTAATTTTATGAATGGATACCTAATTTTACAGGCAATTAATTTTAATTCATAGTTATTAATTCAATGAATATGATTTTTTTGTTCCTACATTTTGGAGCGGCTGTATCTCTTCTGGCAGGAACAGATGCATGCACATATATAAGTGTGTCACACACACTATCTCTATTTTATTACTACCTTAATAAACCCAAATCACATCCCCATACAATCTTGAGGGAAAAACTCAGAATGATCTTATGATCCTTCTTCCTGTACGTTTTATGTGCAATGTCCTAATATTAATTTTTTAAAAAACCCTTGGTATCTGCTTTCAATGCTTCTTTGCAACGGAAGCATCAAGAAATAGCATCTCTAGAAAATTAAACCTGTAGAGTGAAACCAGTGTGCTTAGCTGTTTGTACAATTTATAGCTTTTTTAATAATACAAATTTTCAAGTATAATAGATTTTCAATGCATAAGCAGACACTAATATATAGAGATACATTTACTGTGGGTAGGAGGCAAACTAAAAACCTAGACATTATTGGAAAGCCAAAGTGGGTGGAGAACCTTGATTTTTCTCACTGATCCTAGGTTAATTGACCAAGCCTATACCTACGCAAATGTGTGCATTCAGTTCACTGGGAAAAGATGTAATCCTCATATGTGAGCTTTGTAAAATTGTAGATGTTGACAGAAATAATGGTCCAGGAGCTATCAGGAGAGCAGTGGTTTTATAAGGTCAAGCCATTTTTAAAATGTCTCATATTACAATTTAGAAACATAAAAAACACATAAAATCATTGAATGAATGAGCTGAAAGGGACTTTAGAGATAACCTGTTCCATCCCCTTGCTTAGTGCAAGAATCCTCTAAGCCACTCTTGTCAGGTGGCCCTCCAGCTCCCATCTGAAAATCTCCAGGAAGGCGAAGTCTTTTTGCTGTCTTAGGCAGATGGTTCCACCTCTTCAGCTCCTGTCATCTAGAAATTCTTCTTAATCTTTCGCTTGTATTTCCTTCCTTCGAGTGTCAACCCATTAGTCCTTGTCCTGCTCTCAATTTCGACAGAGAACATTACTGTGCCTTCTTGCATGTGACAACACAGTCTACTATGGTACCTCCGCTCAGCCTTCTCTTTTACAAGCTAAAAGGGCCCAGATCTTTTAATAATTTCCAGACTCTGGATCATCTCAGTAGCTCTCTCCAAATCCACTCCAGATTCTCTATGTCCCTTTATAATGAGGTGTCAGAAGTGGACAGAATACTCTGAGTGTGGTCTAACCAGTACGGAGTCCAATGGAATTATAATGAGGTGTCAGAATACTCTGAGTGTGGTCTAACCAGTACGGAGTCCAATGGAATTATAATGAGGTGTCAGAATACTCTGAGTGTGGTCTAACCAGTACGGAGTCCAATGGAATTATGTGGGTGCAATTCTTCTGTTAATGGTGCTCAATACACACATCTATACTCATATTCAGCTTGTAGTCCATGAAACCCCTAGGTGCTTTCCACGTATGCTGCTGCCAAGTTAGATCTTTCCAATCCCCTTAACTAATCATTTGAGTTTTCCTACCCATTATATTAAAACCTGCCAAGACCACCAAAGACCAAAAAATGGACTATGGTCAAGAGTCAATTGTAACTAGTTTCAATCATTAATTTCAACAGTCCTACTGCTCTAAGCTTGACTCATATTACAAAGCACTGTTGCTGGTTCTCAGGACATTTGCAGATGCCATGTGAAGATGCCCTAGAAGTGCTTAAATAATTTGATCTTTACAGATGCCGATATGAACTGGCCTGATGCACACTTTCTAAACTTATGTACAGATTGGAATGCCTGACCCTGCACTTCTCCAAACCTTGTGACTCAATACTTAGCTGAAAGATGTAGAAAATATAGTTAGAAATATGTTTGAGATAAAGTATATTTAAGTGTGCATGTTTTTAAATAGATGCATTAAAAAAATTGAATTTAAATATAATTTTTCTTTCATTTTTTTTAAGTTCAGAGAAATGGTATGCAAGAGATTAATAAGCAAACATATGCTAATATGAAATCAATTGGGAAAATACTTAATTGTCTATCCCATTTTGAAGAAACATTAAGGCTTGCTCTTTCCTGAAATGAAATATTGGGAAGAAGCTGAGACAGGACAGTTCAGTTAGAACTACGAATGAAGAATGGGCTACTTGCCAACATTTGCATGTAAATAATTTTGAAACTACTACACCCTGTGTTTAACCATTGTAAATCTGGAATATTCTTGGTCTTGTATTTTAGTTTATTTTATTCTTTGTAATTTGTTCTCTGAAATTCATTTCAATATCTAATTAATACCATCAATATGATGCTGAAATGTACTGATATTATAACTGAAGATTTTCTTTCTTATTTATGGAATCTATCATTATAAATGGAATGGCTTATTGACATATTCTTGGTGATTTTTTCTTGGCATGTCGGTTATCTCACCCAATCTCATCAAAAAAAGCCACTACAATTATGAAATAATTGATGGACCAAATACATTATAACCTAACCATCTTCAGTATGATTACCCAGAATCAGGTTCCTTCGAACTTGGTGAAGCTAACTCCTTAGTCTGGGTGTTTAAGATAGTTCTGTAAATGAAGAGGACAAGAATTAAGGAAAAGGCGGCTGGTGAATTCCTTGTTCCAGCCATGCTGTTGGGCATGTGGGACTTGTACCCACTCTGGAGAGGGGTGGTAAGAGGCCTGGTCTTCCCTTCTCATTCTCTTGCTTTCCTTCTTTCAACCTTGTTGCAACATTCATTTTCTCCTCTACCCCAGCTTTTCTTGTTATTCACCTTTCACTGTGGATAGTAAATATCAAATATAACTGACATCTGGCTGAGTGACACAGCAAACTGGATCAAGTGGTAGATATCAGAAGGGGAACAGTAGCAGTCCAGCTCTTCCTTCTGAGCCCTACAGCCAATATTGCACCCCAAACAAGCCTGCTAACCTTGTCTATGGTGAAGGATCTCATCCCACAGTGAAGTAAAATTCACTCTACATGGGGCTGCCCTAGAAGAGTATCCAGAAACTTCAGCTGGTGCAAAATGCAGCTGCATGAGCAGTTGTGTGTGTTTCTGGTAGAAACCATAACCTCTGCTTCATGAGCTGCACTGGTTACCAGTTTGTTTCCAGGTCCAATTCAAGGTACTGGTGTTGACCTTTAAAGCCCTTCATGGCATTGGACCAGGTTATTTGAGGGACTGCCTCTCCCAGATTTCATCTGCCTGTCCTACCAGATCCAGCATAGAGGGCATGCTATGGGTTCTGTCAGCTAGGGAGCTACATCTGGCGGGCCCCAGGCAGCAGGCCTTTTCTGCTGTGGCACCTGTGCTGTGGAATCTTCTCCCCCCTGAGGTGAGGTTGGCCTCATCATTGCTGAGCTTCCAGAGGTCCCTCAAGACCTGGTTATACCAGCAGGCCTGGGGACCCCAGGGGATGGGTGAACTAGTGAGGTGGCGCCATTATTTTTAACATCCCTTTGTCTATTATTTTTTGTTTTAGTTTGGTTTTTATATCTTTTAATGCATTATTGACTGTTTTAGCCCTGTTGTACGCTGCTCAGAGTCATGTGCTTGTAAGATGGGCAGCTATATAAATTGTAAAAATAAAATAAAAAAATAAAATTCAGCTGCCAGTGTACTTCTATGTCTAGAAGCACCTTAGACAAAATATCTTAGGCTCAAGTTGTTGGGATATAGGGAAGGGCAAACATTCCATTAATCAGGTTTTATTTTAAAAAATGAGAAAAGTGAATTCACCACTGTGCCATTTGTTTCTGCTTCATCTAATCAATGCCCTTACCAAATGATCACTGGCAATGAAGAATCACAATTTTGCCCTATGAAATCACTTTTATCTTTATTTCTGCTTTGGTTTTCTCCCTCCTTCTCATTTTTGTCCCCCATTTTATTTTCAGCTACAGTAACTGCTTTAATGCACCCTCATTTTATGTACTGACAGGATTTCACAAACTTCACCGAAATGGCAGTATAAAAATAATCATTTGGAGCAGCTGGGTTCAAGAATAAGAGGAAAACATTGTCACTGGAAAAAAAAAATTAAATCAGTGTGATGGCTCTATTTAATCCTTGGATGGCTGGTAGCACAACAAACATATTTTTATCTAATCTGCAGCAAATCTTCCCCAAAACGACAACTGTGTCAGTTGAGGAATAAGCTCTACTGTTAAAAATTTATAACAACCATGGCTAATACAATTAGAGTTTGGAATCACCTCTGTTTATCTCTGTTGGAACTATATGAAAAGATGAAAGTGTTACCATGTTGGTTAGAAAATTGCAATGCAGTTATAGGTTAATAACATAATACAGCTCATTTAATCTTAATGCCACCAAGGTCTAGGGCCTAACTTGGAAGATCACGATGACTTAATTGTAAGGTTCCAACTATGCACAAGGGAATCATTTATCATCCAGAAATCAGAAAATGTTTTTCCTGGCTTGGTGGACGTATCAGACTAAGACACAATTTGCCTAACTGTAGTGAACTGAACAGATCCCAAGACTGGGTTCAAATGCAATGCCAAATTCAAACAAATCACATTATGGTTTACTGTAATGTGTAAGCCCACTCCAGGTCCTCTTATGGCTTATGACAAGCTTTGCAATACTGCAACCCCCTAAAATGATACATGAATTTTATGACCACCCACTCTATGAATAAAATTAATGATCATATTGATATTTGAGGCTGAAACAAGAATATTACTTCCTTTTCATCACCAAATGTTCATCAATGGATCATAGGAGTTTCCAACATGCAGTATGGCAACTGCATTGTGAGGTTGTACATGAGCAACAAAGCCCCAAATGAGCCCTGACTCATCTTCCCGTTTGGCCTGTGTATGATCCTGTTCGCCTCACACCAAACTGTGATCCCTGAAGGATCCCAACTGACATTGATGAAGATTCTCAGTCATCCAGGTGGAATTATCTGGAGGTTGAATCATGGCAACTGGACTTCTTTTCTTTTGGCTTGATACGTTTCGCTGCTTGATTGAAGCAGCAGCTTGGACAAGCAGCGAGACGTATCAAACCAAAAGAAAAGTCCAGTTGCCATGACTCAACCTCCAGATGATCCCAACTGACAGTAAGAGACACTTTGACTGATGAGATTGCACTGACATAAAATTCAGCGAATGATAACTCAAAGCTCTTTTTAACCCATAATGAATTTAATAGCATCGTCTTTCATTTTCTCTCTTGCCCTTTTGGGTTAACCACAGACCTGCTTGTCATAACTGAGCCCTGTATTATTCAAAGGTGGTCTAGGCTTCCTGGTCTATTAGAGAAAAGCATAATTATAGTTAACTTCTTTGCTGTTTCCTCCTCTCCTTCCTAGCAATGAGCAGCTTGTAATGCCTTGACTTTCAAGTGTATAATTACATTTAACACGTTTTATCTTAAAATCTGTTCCAGACTTGCATCTTCAACTTTTCTAATACTTTTCCAGAACCGTTGGTTCATTTTACAAAATCCACATTGTCTTTTGCCCATCAACGTCATAATCATCTTTATTATTAGTCCTGTTCCAAAATATAAATTGTATCTAACCGGCCTTGTCAAGACATGTAATCCTCACTGCCTACTGATATCTGGAATCATTCCCTCAGATTCCAGGGGCCTTATTACGATTTGAATGATTTCAAGTATCCTATCTCAAATGTCTACTTTAAATGCCTTTCTGAAAACCATAGTGTTTCTATTTTTGGTTGTACTTAAGATTTTATCCCAAGGAAAGAAAGTCTACATATGCAGCCTTTATTTCCAAACATGCAGTGAAATACAGTGGACAGCGTTCCTGGTGCAAATAACGCTTGGGCATCCTGGAGCTTTCTTTAGCCAATGATTTTATTCTAAGCTAGCTTGGGAAATGTTTTGTTGCTGAAGCCAAAACACGCGGAGAGCTGTATGGTGTTCCTTATTTGCGTCCCCAGCATATATTTTATGTGCACAAATGGACAAGTATAATTAAGGTCTTAAGTGCTACTAAAACAGGGTTTAATAATGCAGCCTGTACAAGAAGCACCTTCAGGATAGGTCAGCAAGAATTATCCCTTTTATATGAGCACACTTGTTTTTAAATTTCTGTCTATTTTCCTCTGGATTCTGTTCCTTTGCCAATTAAAACCTTGCAGGGCTCCTATTTAAAGCTCCTGCATTTTCATGAATGATTATTCCATGGTCTGCTGTGGCACAAATGCATACATTTAAAGATGTAACAGGCCAAGCTAACGCTGGAGTAAATATTAAAATGAGAGGGCCTTATGGTGTCAAAGGTGCAAGAAAAGTAACTGATCACTCATTTGTTACTGACTTGTTTTCATCTGTTTATATCATGAGCTCTGTTCATAACTTTGTTCATCAAGCAGCCCTATAAAACTGAGATAAGATATAGAGCGTCACACACAAAGATGTGCAAGCCACTAATCAAAGTTGTGGCTTTTCCGATCTTTTCTCTCTGTGTTTGTTTTTCCATTCTATCCAAACACTGCTTAAGTGCCAACTGCAATAGAAGAAACATTGCCTGAAACATTGCAGTAGGCAGGATCAGACAGTACAGCAGAAAATTAAATGAGTCACTATAAAATGGTGGGGTAGGGGTGGGGGAATAAACTGGCTTAAATCCAAATCATAAATAACTGAAATGTGTTCCTGTTCTTTTAAAGAAAATAGAGGCCATAATTTGAAAGAGTAAAAGAAAGGGAGAAATTGAAGGACAAGGATGGAACTTAAAAGCAGCGTTGATGTAATTTATTATAAAGCAAGAAACAGACAATGAAACTGAAACACACTTTTGTACAGAGAGGAGAACTGCCTGACTTAACTGTTTCTGAAGACACAAAAGGGCTGAGGTTCATGGCAACCTTCCCATTTTTCTTGTAACTCTATTACAACAGACTAAGGCAGCTACTCTTTTAGAAATGGGTGCAAGGAGAAAGTCCCCAAATATCTCCCATGAATGAGCTGCTTGATAAGTATTTTAGCAGTTTAGACTGTTTCTAATTTCATAAACGCAGTCAAAGATTTGAAATGTATTCTGCATGGCATCTGTTCATGTGGAACAGCATCTCCCCAAAGATACGTACGGCTCCTAAGACCTGGCGCTGTTCCCAGGCCTTGGGTTAGGGTGTCTGTGGAGCCCCTGGCGAATTTTCTTTTTCATTTCTGGATGTTATTTATGTAGTTTTGTCTGGGAGGATATGTTCCTTTTTAAATTATGTATTCATGTAAATAATGTAAGCCATTTTGGAGTCAGGCGGCCTTGAAATCCAATAAACAAACAAACAATTTTCTAAGAGAAAGAATATCCTTAATATCCTTAATATTGGCATCCACAAAGAAGGACTGAATTAATTTTGAAGACTGCCCTATTTTCCCTCTTTTGTTTTATCCTCTGTGGAGGATTTTGACAGGTACATCAATGACATATTAAAATTACCATTTCAACTTGGTATTATACTTTGGTTCAAGACTCATAATATGGAAAAAGCAGCATTACCCAGGATAGATAGAAAGGCTTTAGCTCTTTCAGGCTTGATGGGGCTGTTTTTCAGTTGTGTCTCACAGACATACATTCCAACGTCAGTTGAAGTTGGGTTTGCGATAACAAGACGTCTCCCCAAACTGCTAACTCCATTGATGATTTGGATTCCATTCCTCTTCCAGGTGATACTTAATTTCTCAATGGGCCTAGCAGGGAAAAACTCATGCCCATTATTGCTCTGAAGTACATTATGAAGTTAACATCTTTCAACTAACAAAGGACCACAAGTATACAGAAAGCTAGTTGCTTAGAAATAAATTCAGAAGCAGCTCCAAGTTCTTCCGCAAAAAATATGCACCAGAAAAGGGGGGGGGGGGGGGGGAGGGAGAGAGAGGGAGAGAGAGGGAGAGAGAG